GAGAAAGCATTTGATAACATACAGCATCCCTTCATTGTTCAAAATGCTTGGAAAACTAGGTATAAGAGGAACATTCCTCAATATTGTAAAGGCTATGCTAAGCCCCAGGCCAACATCTTTCTAAATGGAGAAAAATTGAAAGCATTCCCTCTAAAAACTGGAACAAGACAGGGATGCCCTCTTTCACCGCTTCTATTCAACACAGTTCATAGTAGCAGGATATAAAATCAACACCCATAAATCAAAGGCATTTCTGTATATCAGTGACAAATCCTCTGAAAGAGAAATTAGGAAAACTACCCCATTTACAATAGCCTCCAAAAAAAAGAAAGAAAGAAAGAAAGAAACTTGGGAATCAACTTAACGAAAGAGGTGAAAACGTCTGCAATGAAAACTACAGAACACTAAAGAAAGAAATTAAAGAAGRCCTTAGAAGATGGAAAGATCTATCTTGTTCTTGGATATGCAGAAGTAATATTGTCAAAATGATGATACTACCAAAAGCACTATACAGCTTTAATGCAATTCCAATCAAAATCCCAGTGGCATTCCTCATAGAAATAGAAAAGCAATCATGAAATTCATCTGGAAAAATAAGAGACCCAGAATAGCTAAAGCAGTCTTTAGCAAGAAGAGTGAAGTAGGTGGCATCAGTATACCAGACTTCAAACTATACTATAGAGCAATAGTAACGAAAACAGCAGGCTATTGGCACCAAAATAGACAGGTAGACCAATGGTACAGAATAGAGGACACAGAGTCTAACCCACATAACTTCAGTTATCTTATATTAGACAAAGGCGCCAAAACATACACTGGAGAAAAGATTGCCTCTTCAACAAATGGTGCTGGGAAAACTGGAAATCCATATGCAACAAAATGAAATTAAACCCCTATCTCTCACCATGCACAAAACTCAACTCAAAGTGTATCAAGGACCTAGGAATTAAACCAGAGACACTGTGCCTAATAGAAGAAAAAGTAGGCCCAAATCTTCGTCATGTTGGATTAGGCCCTGACTTCCTTAACAAGAATTAAAATCAAGAATCAATAAATGGGATGGATTCAAACTTAAAAGCTTCTTCTCATCAAAAGAAACAACCAGTGAGGTGAATAGAGAGCCTACAACTTGGGAGCAAAGTTTTACCACTCACACATCAGATACAGCACTAATCTCTAGGATATATAAAGAACTCAAAAGTCTTAACACCAAAAAAACAAATAGCCCAATCAATAAATGGGCCAAGGAATTGAACAGACACTGCTCAGAAGATGATATATAATCAATCAATCAATCAATGAAAAAATGTTCAACATCTCTAGCAGTTAGAGAAATGCAAATCAAAACTAAGATTTCATCTCATTGCAGGCAGAATGACATCTATTAATAATACAAACAACATAAGTGTTGTCGAGGATGTGGGGGAAAAGGCACACTCAYATATTACTGGTGGGACTGCAAATTGGTGCAGCCAATCTGGAAAGYAGTATGGAGATTCCTTGGAAAACTGGGAATGGAACCACCATTTGAACCAGCTATCCCACTCCTTGGTCTATACCCAAAGGATCTAAAAACAGCATACTACAGGGACACAGCCACATCAATGTTTATTGCAGCACAATTCACAATAGCTAAACTGTGGAACTAACCTAGATGCCCTTCAGTAGATGAATGGATTAAAAAAAATGTGGCATATATACACAATGGAATATTACTCATCAATAAAAGAGAATAAAACCACGGCATTTGTAGGTAAATGGATGGAGTTGGAGAATATAGTGCTAAGTGAAGTTAGCCAGTCCCCAAAAACCAAATACCGAATGTTTTCTATGATATAAGGAGGCTGATTCATAATGGAGTTGTGGTGGGAGCATGGGTGGATTAGAGGAACTCTAGATTGAGCAAAGGGGAGGGAGGGGAAGGGAGGGACCATGGGGGTAGGAAAGATGGTGGAGTGAGATGGACATCATTACCCTAAGTACACGTATGAAGACACGAATGGTGTGACTATACTTTGTGTACAACCAGAGATATGAAAAATTGTGTGTGTAATATGAATTGTAGTCTATTCTGCTGTCACACATAACAAATTAGAATTAAAAAAAATTTAAAAAATTTAAAAAATCTATATGCATGTTTTGTGTTGGTATACATTTTCAGCTATTTTGGGTAAACATTAAGCAATGCAGTAGCTTGATCAYATGATAAGAACGTGTTTAGTTTTGAAAGAAACTGCCAAACTACCATTTCCATTTCCACCAGCTATGAAGAGAGTTCCTGTCACTCCATATCCTCATCAGCATTTAATGTCATTCTCTGATTTTTAGAAAGTACTATTTGTGTTTGGTTTTCAGCAGCTTTTCTGTGATGTATGCTTCTTTATGCTTATAATTATCTGTATTTTGGCGTCTTTTATACATTTTGGGAAGATTATCAGCTACCATCTCTTCAAATATTGCTTCTTTCAATTAGAAGAAGATCTAATGATAGAAACAGAATCACTAAGAGCTGTGTGCGTGCGCGCACACACACACACAGACACACTCAGTTTTTAAAATAGGAATTTTTTTAAAAAAATTATTTATTTCTATTTAAAATAGGGTTTTGACCTTAGAAAATCATCCAAGCTGGTCTGATAGACTCAGGTTGTCCCCTGTTTATGGCCTCAGCCACAGTCAACAGGACAGACAAGTAGAAAGAGAAGATGGGATGTGCCAGATGGGCTGGAACCCCGCTCTGTTTCCCATTGCGTCCCAGGGTGCAACTTGGATGACAGGTGTCCTGCACAAGCAGGCCCCCCCCACCCTTCGTGGAGCTGCATATGCACCTGGCCCAGGAGTTGAGGAGACTGAGAAAGGAAAACTGACAGCAGCTGGCGGATGCTGCGGGTCAAAGAGGAAGGCAGCTGTGACTGCAGCAGCAGTTCCCTATCTTGACCTGAGCGTGAAAGGAAAGCAACAGCTATTTATGGCCGCCTTCTGAATCTGGGAGTGTCTCCTGTGACAGCCATCCCTTCGAGCCAGGGACGGAAACTGGCAACAGTAGTACTGGCTTGGCCAAGTTCACATGGCACATTGTACAATTCACCTCTCACCTGATGACCTCACCCTTCTCTTTCTGAGACCCCATTTTCTTGCTTTAAGTGTCTTTTACCCTCTATTCCGTACTTTCCGTACTTTTGGATCTGTGTCCTTCAGTCTGGATATTTTTCGTATTAACTATGTTCCACTTAACTAAATCTCTTTTCTGTTTTTGAGTCTCTTGTTAAGCCTATCTACCGAGTACTTAATTTTGATAATTTTCCTGTTAAATTCCATTTGTGCCTTTTAAAAAAATAATTTCTAATTCTAAACCGAAATTGTCCATATTCTCATTTATTTCCTGAACATGTTAACCACAGTTATTTTACATCCATATTGTGTCATTCTGATATCTCAAACTCTTGTGGGCTTCTTTTTTTGTTTGTTTTTTGGAACATTCTTGTCATTTTATTGATTGACTCTTCCTACTTATTTTTTTTTTTTGAGTTATAGGCATTGTCTATAAACATAGAAATCTTTTAAGATTTGAATGATTTTTTTTCCTTCCTCCCAACAGAATTTGCTTTTGCTCTGTCAGGCAGTTAATATAGACTTTAATCAGAAGTTGAGTTGATTCAAACTCAGCCTTGGTTTTTATAAAGGCCTGGGTATTTCCATTCAYTCCTACTTAGGAAAGTGTATATTAAGAGGAACTCTTTAGGGGTGCTAGCTGGAAGCCTCGTGTGTGTATTGACTCCTTGGTGGGTCCTGAATGCCATATTCCAAGCTCTTTGAGTTTCCTTCTGGAATCTTTTCTCAGATTCTCATCCTTCGTGCTGTTACTTTTGAATAAACTACTTAGGGAAAAATTGACTTGGGTCCTTCCTCTTGAAGTTTGCTCTTTCAAGTCCTTGCAAGCTTTTTGGTTCTTTTAAACCTCCAAATAGATTTTTTATATTTTTTCCAAGTTACCCTAAAGTGGCATTTAAAAAAATATATTTTTCAGTCTTTGTTGCTAGTTTTAGAGATTATGAAGTTGATCTGTGAAAAGTGAGTTATATTCTAAATTTTGAGCTATAGCCATCTTAGGTTAAGTGAAAAATGCCCTTGGTGAAGTTTCTGTGGTTTGTTACTCATTTTAAAAGTTAGTTGTACTGCACTGTGGGGTGGAAAATTCATAATTGACAATTTTATTTCACAGAGGAAGAAATTGAGATGGGAGCAATTGAAAAACCTAGGAACAAATCACTAATGTTCATAATTAAAGATATGAGTAGAATTTGATTTTGTACTCTCTAATTTTAAGCTCAGAAAATCTTATATCTTTTGACTTCATTTTGCTTTATTCATGAATACAAAAAAAAAAGGTTTTAGATTCCCCTTTTCAGCTAGTCTTTTGGGTATTGCTTGGCTGGTGATCTGCTGAGAGTTTGGCTCTTCYGGGTTCCACCTCTGCAGTGTTTAGGTGACTCTTGGGCATGTCCACATCTTTAAATCAGTGACCTCCACTTTTCCTATCCACTTTGTCTTCAGTTTTTAATTTTGTTGAATTCTAATTTATTTAACTCCTGTTCTAGTCTTTCCCCCGATTGTCTCGGTGTCCTTGTCAATCACCAACCTAGTTATGCGCAGCCTTTCCCAACTCTGCATTCATAGCCATCACATGGTAGTTTGGAAACGGCCCCGATAGAACTACTTACATCATGAAAATTGGGAATCACTACACATCAAGGCTTTTCTTCCTGTAGAGCAAGTTATTAAAACTTTACCAGCATACCCATGCTYGTCCCTCCATGTAGCAAAGTGCCATCAACTCAAAGATGGATGCAGACCTGGTGCCACAGAATGGGCTGGATCACCACTGAGCATCACCAACAACTTAAGTCTGGAATTTTAGCTCTTGTTCATAAAACTCTTGTGACTGACTATTCCTGCCTCTGTGGATCGCTAACTCAATTCTTCTTCTATTCTGGTTTTAGCCTCTCACATTGGTGGTTGAGAAAGAGCTGGAATGAAGTCATCCCTCTTCTGGTTTTGTCTTCATCCCACAGTTTGCAAAGCTGCAGAGAGCATCGTTGACAATGCCTTGTGTTCTACAGCATGCATGGTAACTCGGGCGTGGTGTAGGCAGCGGGGAGCCTGTATTTCYGGCAAGGCTTGCCTTGGTTTGCAGCACTACCAAACTGGATACAGATAAACCGAGGGTTACAAAGTCAGTATTCCCTGGGAACAGAGAGTATGAGCCTCAGCCTCCCCAGGCAAACCATCAGCAGAGCTAACGAGGACTCACTGCTGTTCTGGTCTCTCTCTGGGAGCTTCCCTAAAGCATCAGTATCAGGGCACAGCTGCATGAAGATTCGGTGTGTTGATGAAGCTGGGTTTCATTTTTCATGTTGACTTGTTATGCTCAAGTGACAGAAACTTCTATTACCTTTGTCGTTTTAACTATAAAATGAGTACCATGTCAGTTGACTTTTCTTTTTCTTTTTGTTCTGGGAATGGAACCCAGGGTTTCTTTACTACTGAGCTACATCTCCAGCCCTTTTTATTTTTTATTTTGAAACAGGGTTTTACTAAGTTGCTGAGGCTGGCCTCAAACTTGCAATCCTCTTGCCTCTGCCTCCCTGAGCTGCTGGGATTTGTGCCACTACACCCATTGAATTTCTACCTTCTTTGCCACAACAATACTCATCACCTTATTTCATCTTTTTAAGAAACCTCTAYGGAAATAACAATAAAATATCTTTAGCAATTATTCGATTGATCACTTCCCATATGCCATCACTATCCTGGGTACTTTACATAAGTGTCTCCATTAGTTCATACAAATCCATATAGGATAGGTACTCCTGTCAACCAATTTCCAGAGGAGAAGACTAAATCTACTGAAATGTTAAAATAATTTGTTCTTCTTTATATATTACAGAAAATGGTAGGTTCAGGATTTGAGCCTAATATAAGACTCCGAAATCTAATTTTTTTTATTTTTATTTTTTGCGGGGCTGGGGATTGAACCCAGGGCCTCGCGCATACTAAGGGAGTGTTATACCATTGAGCCACACCCTGGGCCCAACATAACCACCCTGCCTCTTAGAAAAAGAAGGGAAAAGATGGAAAAGGGTACTCGATGCTGCTCCTTTTACTTCTTAAAGGGAACAGGTGTCACCTTGGCCTCCTGCTTTCAGTCCTCCGTGGTTGGCAGGGGGCTGTGAGGGGGGGTGGGAGCACAGAGCTCCCTTGGGGCAGCTGGATTGGCTGSTTTCCTGCTCTGCACCAGGCTTTCTCCCCCCACCCCCCCACAGGCGCTTCTTGCCAACGCCAGTCTTCAATTGCAGCACTCCGGAGGGGATTAGCACCGTGGAATCAGTGTATGGAGCAAACCTGAGTGTCGCAAAGCAAATATTTCACATTTCATGTTAAATCAGATCCTAAAACAAGTGTGAAGAATTGGGATTAAGTGAGAAACGTACATTTCAGGAGCTGAAATGGGTTTTGATCAGGGGGAAACCCTGCCCTGTCCCCTCTCTTCCCGGGGAGTCTGGATGCCGTTCCAGGGGCCGGATGTCACGAGGTGCACTGAACAGCAAGAGAGGCTGAGGTGAGGCCGGGCAGGCTGGGTGGACAGATGTGTGACAGGTGTCACACCAGCTTTTAGACCTAGGAGATTAAAGTGGGGCTTGGCTTTCAAGAAAAGGTATTTAAAATTAAATGAAAAGGACACTAGGGGAGGAATGGCCGCCGCTGGAGAGCCGCCGCATCTCCACGGCCAGGTCGGCATCCTTGCGGGGGTCAGGCTGCGGGGCAGCCCTGGGCTTTTCCTGGATGCCGCCTTTACCCAGCAGCCGCAGCCGAGGGAGGAGCGCGGGAGCACCACGCTGCCTGCTAATCTGGGGCTTGTGGCCTGGGTTTGGTGAGTGCGTGTGTGCGTGGCGACGTCCGTGCTGCATGTCATCCTTGAGCAGAGGTAGGACCCTAGCATGTCCTGGCAGAACTCCCCATCTCCTTGTTCCGCGAGTGTCCGGCTGTGATTGGAGTGTCCGGGATTGGAGGCAGGCAGGGGCTCTGCACGCCCAGGAGACCAGGGAGAGGCCCAAAGTCAGGGCCTGGGAGGGAGGACATATGACACCCAGTGAGCCCCGCGCTGCCCGGAGGGCGGCAGGTGCCAGCTGAGGCCGACCTTGCAAGAAGATCCTCAGGCTCCTTCTGTGCTAAAAGGAGACTGACTTATTTTTAGTTCCTCCCTCCTCCTATTGCTTAAGTGCTGGCTTGTTTAACTAAGAGACTAGGCGTTTAAAATTCTCTAGATTCTTTTAAGTTGTAGTTCTGGAGCCGGCACTGTCACRCTGACTTTGTGAAAAGAATTAAAAAAAAAAATAAAATCAAGTTTTCTGTTTGAGGTTTCCACAAATAATTACCATAACACCATGATGGACTCCTGATGTATTATGGATCACCCCAAGGACACCAGGGTCCCCTTCCTTGCACTCACTGCCGTCTGAATGGCAGGGTGGGGGCCTCCCGGGAGATGGGGCTCTCTGGGGCTTGGATGCCAGCGTCAGTTACCCAACCTCTCTCCAGGAGGATTTGGTAGAACATGTGGCTCTGAGAGGTGCCCTTCTGCCTATACTCAGGCCATGTCCTTTACCTACAGGACAGGACAGGGCTGTCCCCTGGGTCTCGCCCTGGGTCCCTGCCCCACCTCCTATAGACCACTTGCTTTTCTTCTGCAGGGCTTCAGTGCTGGCTGCAGTGTCTGCTCAGGCTGCCAGAACAAAGTCCCATAGATTCAGGGGCTCCACAGAGACTTCTTGCMGTTCTGAGGTCTCAGAGTTGGAGATGGAGGAGTCGGCAGGTTGGTTTCCCTGAAGCCTCTCCCCTGGGCTGGGGACGCCAAGTCTCGCCTTCTCCTTGTTTCTCCTGGGGGCCTTGTGCAGTCGGCCTCTGTGTGTCCTAGAAGTTCARCAGTTGTTGGAATGGAATCCCCCAAGTGACCTTAGCTTGACTGATTTTCTCTTTGAAGACCCTGTCTCCCAGGACAGTCACATTCCAAGGCACTGGGGTTAGGACTTAACATACCCAGACGGGCACGTGAACAGCCTTACCTTGCTGGACCAGCCTCCAAGCCACATCTTCTCATCGCCCCCCTGACCCCCTGCTCCTTTCACCTTCACTGCCAATGCCAACCCCAACCTCTTAGGCACCATCCCTCTCCCTTCCTAGGACTCCCAGAAAGGGGATCTTGGTGACCCGACATTCCAGCTGAGATGGTCATTCTTCAATACCCTGTTAGAAGCCCCTGCCTCCTTTGTGCCCTTATTGAGGCTGCACAGAGCTGGATCTGGTGCGGGGACATGCCACAGCGTGCTGGAAGGGAGCTGGGGGCCGCAGGAGGTCCTCACTCTTCCGAGTTCAGTGCTTGGGGGCCAGCCCCTCCCCACCCTTGGGGTGCATCATGCTCAAACCTAATTTTTTTAAATCTAAAATATATTTTAGTTGTTGATGGACCTTTATTTTATTTATTTGTATGTGGTGCTGTGAATCGAACCCAGTGCCTCGTGCTCGCTAGGCAAGTGCGCTACTACTGAGCCACACCCCAACCTCAAACCTCATTTTTGAGGTAAGGTTTCCATTTCCTSTCTGCTCCCAATTCTGCTGAGCAAACTGGACCCTTAAGAAAAAAGGGAGGGCCAGGATTGCGGCTCAGGGGAACAGTGCTTGCCTGGCACACGTGAGGCCTGGGTTGGATCCTCAGCACCACATAAAAATAAATAAATAGAATAAAAAAAGAGAAAAGGGAAACACAGGTTGTGCGTTCTGGGGTGTCTGTGCCTCGTGTGTGAAGATGTGTCTGGGAAGAAGAGGTCCTGGCCTCTGAAGAGGCAGTGGCTAGTGTGGTGGCTGTGGAGCCTGGTGGATGTGGACTGAGGACCCCAAACCTGGACCTTGGTGTGGTAACCAATGTGGAGCTCTTGGGGCACAGAGGTTGCTTCTCTGCTCTTCTGACCACCGCCAGGTGAAAGTGATTTGCCAATCTAAGGCCCGTGGCGCTCACAGGTGGTCCGCAGACTAGGAGCAGGAGACCCCGTGGAATCGGTTAGAAGCCCACCTTGTCTGCAGAGTCAGGAACTCWGTGTGGACCAGCAATCTAAGTGCCTGACGAGCCCTCCAGGTGTGCTGCGAGGCCTGGAGTTACAGAAGGCACCACTGCTCTGCTGTCCAGAGGCAGGCTGGGTGGATGGGAGAAGAGTGACGCCGAGATTACTATGATCCAGCCACTGTCTGAAATGCAAACATTTCATCAGGTTCTTCCACTCAGAAAATGTTTTTAATAATTGCTGTATTTACATTTATATCACACTTTTAGGCTATGGTGTTTGGTCCTATCTGAGTCATTTATTTGTTCACAAAAATGTATTGCAGACCTACTATGAACCAGCAATTTGCTAGCTCTTGAATTCAATGATTAGGAAAACCAGGGAAGTACGTTCTTTTGAGTGTGTTTGTGTAGTGGCCAGAGGAGGGATGGATGTTAACTAAGCAAAAGAAATTGTATTTGTGTTTAAGCCTTTATGTGAGGTAGAAATAGCAATTGAACAACCAAGAAAATAATTATAAAATTACAAATTTTATATCATGCTGAAGGGGAGGCATGAGGTTGGTTGACTAAGGGTCAGGGAACCTTTCCTTAAAGAAATAACTTTCAAGGTGAGGTCCAAAGTGGTTGTTAACAACACAACAGAGGTGGAGGTGGGGAGATAAGGAAAGGAACATAGGCCTGTTGTGAGGATGCAAAGATACTGGAAGGAAATGAAAGTAGGGATTTGGAACCATACTGTGGGTTTTAGGTTTTAAGAGGAATGGGGGGCTGGGGATGTGGCTCAATCGGTAGCGCGCTCGCCTGGCATGCGTGCGGCCCAGGTTTGATTCTCAGCACCACATACAAAGATGTTGTGTCCGCCGATAACTAAAAAATAGATATTAAAAAAAATTATCTCTCTCTCTTTCTCTCTCTCCCTSTCTCACTCTCTCTTTAAAAAAAAAAAAAAGAGTAATGGGAAGCCCCATGTATTAGTTTGCATTCACTGGGTAATGCTGTGTAACAAGCATGCAAAAAAAAAAAATCTCAGTGGTTCCCAGTTACAATTTTTTTTTTTTGACTCATGTTACATCTTGAGTCTGGGCCAGTCACAGGTGCACACCATGGGTCCTCTTCACCCTAAGACCTGGCTGAAGCAGCATCTGGAATCTGGGTCATGTTTTTCTCACAGCAGAACCCTGAGATGCCCCAGGCATAGACCCCTCTGATCACATTCTACTGGGCAAAGTGTCACCAGGCTGAGTCTCAGGGAAGGGTGGGAAGGTGGGGGCTGGAGGTGGGCAGTTAGGGGCAGGCCCTTGAAGAGTGTGCCTGGGGCTGGTGGCAACACAAGAGATCTGTTTTGAAAAATAAAGCAACTGGATGAAGTGGGCCCCCGAGGAGAAGGTGAGGTGAGGCTGGGCTTCATGTCCTATTCCAGGGTGAGATGATGATCACCAGGGTCATAGAGACAGGGCTGGAGATGGAAACATGAGATTGGAGAAAAGTTTTGAAGTAAAATTAAATAACCTTGATATTAATGTGGGCTTGGTTTGAGTATGTTAGTTTTGAGATGCCCTGAAACCTTCCGAGTGGTGTGTCATATCGACTAGAGTAGGGTACAAATTCCTCAGAGTCCCCCCTCCCCGTTTCTTTTGGAATGTGACCTGAAAGTTGTCTGGAGAGTAGCTTTCTTAATGGAAATGACCTTTGTGTCTTTATTTCCTTGATTTCAGAGTCTGTAGATATTAAAATATTGTTCATAGGTGGCAACTCTTCCCCATTTTTGTCTCAGGTTATTCAGAAGAAGGAAGAGCATTCCTCCTGTCCTTCCCACCTATTGGTAGAGTGTCCCCCTTCACCAGGGCCTGTGCCTCCTTCCCCTCGTGGCCGGTGGGAGCTGAGGGAGTCCCTTCCCCGCTSTGCCCAGCACCAGGTGCCAGCATCTTCCTCTCAGAAAATTGACAAATACGGTCCCGGATGGTGAGCAGCTGAAACCACCAAGGGCTCTTGGACCTGGGGGGCGGATTTCATCCTAAACCAGCCCTCCTCTGAGTCCAAGAGCTGTCCTATTTGGAATGCAGAGCGGGTGGAACCAGGCTCTCCTGTTCCCCTCCGTGTCCCCAGACTCAGGAGTTTCCAGAAAGCATGTCGAGAGATCCCAACGCACCTTTGGGCTGGACTCTTGGTGACAGCCTCCTTCCGTTTGTGACTGAAGTTGCAGGGACAGGAGCACACATCCGCCAGGTCGGACATGTGGACCTCGGGTCTGGTGTGGACACACTTTACGCTTTCCCTCCTGAACGCCATTCTGCGATTACGCCTCCATTTCTTGCCCTCTTCAAAACTCCCCACAAGTTCTGTGTAAGGACAAGTCACCAATATCACACGAGTGTGTACTGGGTCCTCTGCATCTTGCTGCTCCTCAAAGCCCCTACCTTGATGGCACAGAGAAGGGGCGCAGGGCTGCTCATTACAACCAGTGACCTCTGCCTTGGCGGGGAGGGGAGTGGTCCCCTCCAAGGGCAGCTTCCGCCTGCTGGGGCTGGTGCGGAGTTGAACCTGAGCTGACTGAGGTCATGGGCTGGCGTCCCGGCTGGCTGATCAGCGGTGGATCGCTGAGCTAGTTATGTACTATTCAGACCTTCCTTTCCTCATGGAGCATGAATAGGAATGGAGGGGTGTGATGTGCACAAAGCACCCCGATAACCAATGATGTCACCTCATGGCAACACGGTAAAACCTACCCCGGGTTTTGTTTGTAAACGGGGTAGAGAAGAGAAGTGGTCCACGTGTAGAATTAATCCAGAATTGCCTCAGGATGTGGCTCATTRTGGACGGGGAACTTTATTCTGCCAATTATTGTACCAGGAAACTTCACCTGGACAAGGACCTCCAGCCACTGTGCCCTTGAGGGCTCTGTCCTTCCCTGTGGCTCCCTCAGGCCTGGCCACAGTGGGGTTTTTAAAGGGCCTCAGGGTATTGAGTGGCTTGTCCTGGAGGCTGCAGCTGGGTGGGCTGGAATCTTATTTACTGTTGAACTTTTGTTAACCCCCTGCATTGAGGGGCTCTGCGGGTGCCACGGAGTTATCTCTGCAGCCAGTTGCTTCTTCCTAGTTGAGTTTGAAGCATGGGGTCGCCCTTAGGTTTGCGATGTGGGTGGGAGGCTCTTCCTGAGAAGGGAGCATCTCCCCATGTCCGTGTGCAGAAGAGTGATGGAAAAATCCCAGGAGGAGGCCTGGCAGGGGCGCAGGACTGAGCAGAGGACCTGGAAGTGAGTCTGAGGTCCGCYGCAGCTCGGTGCAGATGTGGGTAGGTGAACCTGGGGCTCTTATTCCCCCACTGAAGGGTGACCGGAGCCACTCTCCACCTTGCTTGCGGCTTTCCAGAAGGGTCTACCCCAGGAAGGTATCCAGTATAAGAAGGAGAGGGCCAGAATGTTATTCAGCCACCAAGGAATGGAGTGCCCACACCTCACAGTAGGCATCCACGGCTGCACCTCGAGGAGGCAGGGTGGACGCAGACGCCAGGCACAGAAGGGCAGTGCTGTGGGACGCCTCCTAGCCGAGGTTCCTGCGGCAGGCACACCAGACCAAGAGGAGCAGAGGCTGCCAGGAGCTGGCGAGGTGGCAACGGGCAGCCGGAGTTTGCTGGTGGAGTTTGGTTTAGGATGATAACAGTTTGGGAGAGAGATGGAGGTGGTGGTAGCAGTAACGGGCATGGATTTGACGCCATGGAATCGTCCCCCAAAGCGGCTAGAGTGGTAGATTTTATGTGTACTTCACTACAATAAGAAATTAAAAAATTTAGATGTAATCACGGAACAAACAGGTTATAGAATAATTGTCTTTTCTTTCTTTTCGCAGCTCAGGAAGGAGCACCTGGCTGCAGAGATTACTCAACGCGCCCGCAGAGCCCCTCAATGCAGTGGACTGGAGGACACGGACAGGGACCTGGGCTGCTATGTCCGGGCCGTGGGAGCCTTGCTGCCTGGACAGTGTGCCCTGAGGGGACCCCGGATGGCAGTCAGGCACTGGCCTGGCTCAGGCCTGGCTCCGCTCTTCAGTGGTCAGCGTGAGCCCTGCCATCCTCCTTTCTTTGTCTGTGGATGCGGGGTCATTGCAGTCGGCCTCAACGCCCCCTTAGCTCTTCCATTCTCAAATTCCATTTACCTTTTGATCCGGTTCCATCCTTTTAAGTGCTGTCACCTTTGCTTACTTGTATAAACACGAGAGAAAATCATACTTGTTTACTAACTTAAATTTAAACAATGAATAACAAGAAAAACGTGAAAGAGAACCCATCACCTCTGAGCCTACAGGTTGCGAGAAMCCCCCTGGCTCCCCCTGAGCGCCCCAGGCCCGGCCAGCAGCCTGGGCTCCCGGAGTCTCCGGCCCTGGAGGGGGCGGGCAATGCTGCTCTGCCGCGCCCTCTGGTGGCCGCTCTCCGTCATGGTCACCAGCCGCAGGGTTGTGCCTTGGGCTGCCCAGGCGAAAGATTTAATTTACTCCGACAAATATTCCATCTGGTGYTTCGGGTAGAGTCCCGGAAAATGCCATCTCTCTTTTCTGGAAGTCTCTCTCTTAGTGGCCAGTGATGAAGATGCCAGAAAAAAGTAGCCCATTCATCATATTTATGTTGTGTGAGATGGTACCTCAGAGGGTGAAGTCAATGAGAAGAATGAGTAATTGAAACAAGCATTTTTGTTCCCTTGGCAGAAAGTCAGTCATTAGCCATATACCTATTTTACAAAGGGAGATTAGATAAATTAGAGATTAAAGAAAGTGGAACAGATGTTTTTCCTCTGATAAGCATCATTCTATCAAAAAAGCAAAGAAACAACAACAAAAAAGCAAACCTCGGGAGACTTGGACTTGGTGCAGAAAACGTGGAGGCAGAAATCCCAGGTTGGGGGAGACGTGGCCTGCACAGGGCCACACCTGGACCGTGTGGACGCTCTCATCGTGCCATGACTCATCGCAGCGCATCCTTCCATGTCGTGAGGGTGCCAGGCGCCCATGAGTTGTGTGGCGCCAGGCGCCTCGTGGACCTTGTCTTTACCCTCGCAGTAGCAGCCATTGAAGGGCGGCCATGTTGTCTTCATGGCACGGAGAGCAAGGAGGCGGGGGCTCTGGGCGGGTGATTTGATTCAGGTCAGGCCCAGCACAGTCATGGTTCTCAACTAGGGCCGCAGCAGCACTGGGAGCAAATTCTGGGCCCCGGACCTGGTGAATTGAGAAACTTGGTTGTGGRGGCAGCCCTGGGGTGGCTCTGAGGCTGCTCAGGTTTGAGGGCCTTGGAAGCCTCTGGAAACTGAAACAATGAAAGCACAGGTGCTGGGACCCCAGGTCCCTGGGAAGTGGATCTAATCCACAGCGCAGCCAGCTTCAGAACCTCTGAGTAGAGAGGCCAGGCGGGGCCTGAACTTGCCTCTGTCTTGCTCACCCGTAGGCCTCGCCGCCTGGCAGATTCTGTAGTGTGCAGCCTGCTTCTCCGTGGGGAGAAGGTGGAAGCCGTGCACCTGACCACCCGCAGAGCAGAAGTGGCTAGTGGCCCAGAAGMAAGGCCCACAGGGACCTGGCCTTGTGCCCTCCCGAAAGCCAGTTGGCTCCAGAGTGGGCCTGCCGTCCAGTGCTGTGGCTTCCCGGGAGCTGGCTGCCAGGCTTCGGGGAGATTTATTTTCCTCTGAGAGCGAGCCCCGGGGAGCCCTCATGGACTGAACTGATGACCCTCTGGTCTTCCTCTGAGCTGGGCTGTGTCTGGGAGCGAGGCCTGCACTCTGCACCTGTGAGAGCCACGAGGAGCCCACGTGAGCCTGGCAGAAGGTCAGATGGCAAGAGCTGGTTCCTGATGGAGCTGCCGAGGGCACGGAGGTCACTCTGCCAGTGGAAAACTCTCCCTCTCCAGGTAGAGACCCAAACACAGCCTTCCCCAGAGCACCTACTTTCAGGATCACCGGGTCCCATTCTGTGCTCCTGTGTGGGCTCCCTGTTKGGAGGACGCTGGCTTGGTGAGCAGSCCTCCATCATCCTGCCTGTTTTTCTCTCTCGCTACTTGCCGTGGTCTGTTTCGCAGTGTGGGCATTTCAGCACGAATCTCATCTTTTTCTGTCAAGTTCATGTTTGAATTTGCCACGTGGCCTGTCACCAGGTCTGGGGGGAGGCTGGGGCAGGGTCAGCCCTCAGAAATTAGTTCCTGTGTCATGAACAGATGATCCGTGATGGATCTGTCAGAACCTGGGGAGGGGTCAGAAGAGCTTCCAGAGACAGGTGAGGAGACTGAGGCCGCAGGAGAGTGACTCCAGGGTCAGGCAAGTGCAGGGGTCCCCTGCTACCTCTGTTACTCCCTGACTAGGGCCTGGCTTTTCTGGGGAGAGGAGGGATGCCTTACTTCTGTGTGTCTCTGTCGACTCAGGAGGCCTACCCGTGGGGCCTGTTCCTTCTTACAGAGGTCTTCTCAGGGCTTCCAGAGGAGGGAAGGTCTGTTTCTGTCTGCAACTAAAGCTTTATGGCGGGATCTACCTAGATGGTAAGCGTCAYGGAGAGGACTCTTCATCATATGGCAGAGATGATGTTCAGTTGGCTCAGCCTCTCGTTTTTGATTTAATGGATGTTCACTGAGCATCTGCTGCGTGAGTACTGGGTGCGCACTTCAGTGAGTTCACGGGACATTCAAGTACACTCCGCAGGGAGAACACGTTGCTGGGGGAGACGGAGGAGAGCTCCCACCCAGCGAGGGGGAGGGCGTCGGTCAAAGCACCCAGGGTAGGCGGGGAGGGTGGTGGGGGGTACAGGAGAGTGTCTCAGGTGAACAGGAGGAAGGGGACCATTCAGTGGGGTGTGGTCGGTTCTGTGGTCAGTTCTCAGGTTGCGCAGACATCACCATGTCCATCTCCAGCAGTTGCTATCATCCCCAGGAGAACGCTGACTTCTGTAAATGACACTTGACAGTCCCTGGTACCTGGCCCCTGGCAACCCCTGTTCTGCTTTCTGTCTCTAAGGCTGTGTCTGCTCTAGGTACTKCGTGGAAGTGCGATGATGTATTTGTCCTGTGCTTGAAGTTTTCTCTGAGGATGATGCTTCCAGTGTCAGCCTTGCCTGGTGTGTGTCGGTGCCGCATCCTTTCCAGGGCTGCATAATATTCCATGCATGTGCGTATCCACCTGGCTGTTCCCAGAGAGGGACTGTGGTGGACCATGCTTCTGTGCACATGGGTATATGGGCATCTGTTTGAGTTCCTGTGTTCCTTGGTTTTAGGTATGTAAAAAAGTATCTATGAGTCCCAAATTTGGAAAGCCCAGCCTTGCAGACATGTGACGTCATTGAAAGGCGGGTTACCTGCTCAGGTGGGGACTGCAGGAGCCAGCAGATTGGAGAGTGTGCAACAGGTGCTTTTTCCTTCAATTTACAGTGTTCTGTGTGGCTGTGTGAGTTCACCATGGTGTCYGGTTGTCTTAGCCGCAGCTTCATTGGGAATCACTGCGTTTGGAAAGACTTGATGAGGAGTGCAGAGCTGGGGACCCACCCGGGGCCTGGCTGGCCATCCAGGAGGAACTCAGTGACAGATGGAGCTGAGGGTGAGGGACTGGACCCAAGAGAGGTTGGGGGACTGCAGTGAGCCCAGGAGGCCCTTCTCGTGCTGAGCCTGGTGGACAGGGAACCTGGGTGTGGTGGCTGACCTCGGTGCCCCGTGGCAGGGGATCCGTCCACCTCCCTGCCCCAGGTTGAGGCCACTCAGTGGGGCTGCCTCTGTGGCCAACTGTGATTAGTTCTTGAATGCAGCTCAAACCCTTTGTGTGCTTACAAGGTGCTTGACAGATACACGCATCTGGCAAACTAACCCGTCTTTGTTTYTCTTTGAATCTTCTGCCTGGAGAAGTGGGGGAGACAGTTGAGTTTGTGGGTGCACAGAAGGAACTTCCCTCAGGAGCAGAGAGCCTTCTGTTGAGGATGCTCTCACTCACTCCTCAGGGAGAAGGGACATTCCTTTAGTCATTACAGACGCGGTGAAGAGAGCAGTCCTGATTTTCGGTGGGAACAACTTGCCTGGATGATGTGGGGACAGGAGGCACTCCAGCTGAGGTTCCTCTTTTGTTCCAAGAGTTGTGTAGACCTGCAGGTACTTCTGATGACACACCTGAAAACGATCACGTGAGCTGGCCATGGTGGTGCATGCCTAGAATCCCAGCAACTTGGGAGGCTGGGGCAGGAGGATGGCAAGTTCAAGGCCAGCTTCAGCAAAGTAATGAGGCCCTAAGCAACTTAGTGAGAACCTGCCCCCCCCAAAAAAAAAATAAAGGGAGGACTGAGGATATGACTCAGTGGTAAAGTGTCCCTAGGTTAAGTCCCCACCACTAATCAACCAATCAGTCAATCAATCACATGACTGTAGAAGTAGCTCTGGTTGAATCCAGTAAGAATCCGGTAGGACAGGATCAGTTCCCTGTGGGACTCCGTGTTTCTTTGTCCCAAAGTCATACTTAACATGCCACACTGTTTTCTCTTGTGGGAAGGGGCCTCCGCCAGCCAGCAGCGGGGAGGCAGGCCCTGCAGCCTGAGCTGTGAGAACTGGTCCGTCCCTGTCTGCGAGATGGGTGTGGTGGAGCCGCACACCTCCCTCATTGGTCTCAGTCAGATCATGTTGGAGGAAGAGCTTTGCAAACATCAAGAGCCATTAGGCAACATCCTAAATCAGGAATCCGTGGCGGGCTGTGGAAAATCAGAAAACCAGGACTCAKATGACCGGCTGTCCCTGGAGGCGGTGGTGTGGTGTGGTGTTTCCCAGCAGCGCCAGCGCCCTGGGCCCGCGGCCCTCCTGGTGTGAGGAGCTGGAGCTGCTGCTAATGGTGTTTATTTTAGAGTCTACACACCCCCCTACTTCATCATGCCAYAAAGAGAGGCATTTAGGTTGGACCATTCCACAAATATTTATGGAGCACCTCCTAGGAGTCCAGCATTGTTCTGCCTTCTGCCAACACCAGGAGAACAAATAGATATTGTTCCTGCTCAGATGGGGCCTGTAGTGAGGGAGAGAGAGACATAAAAAAGCAACAGCAACAGCAAATAACCCCACACTCATAAATATGTGACTCAGAGCTGTGACAAACGCTATGAGGGGACACCGAGTGTGGAGCYTTCCTCGCAGCACGGCTGCCAGCCAAGCGGCCGCCTCGGGCCTCTGGAGGCAGCGGCCTTGGGCTGAGGCCTGACCTTGAAGGGGAGTCAGAAGCTTCTGGCAAAAAGGAGGGTGGGGTTTCAGGGCAGAGGGTCGTCCAGGAAGGACTGGGCCGTGCTGCCCAGGCCTCGGCAGGCCTGGGGGGAGAGGGGAGCCTGGAGGGCTAGAAGGCKGGTGGTGACGGTCCCCTGCGGGAAGGGCCCTCTGTGGGGAAGGGCCAGCCTGGATGTTGAGCTGGGACAGACCAGACTGGCCAAGGCCCGTGTGGGAACCAGTCAGGAGGCTCTGGCCGTCACCAGGTGGGAGGTGGCTGTGGGTGGAGCCCTCCAGGAGGTGGGACCGGGAGGAGAAGGACAAACACGGCCACTGTTTCCCTCTCCAGGTTGGAAAACGTCCTGTTGCAGCTTCCCGGGTTGAGGGACGCTGGTGTCACAGGTTGGATGCGAGTGCTTCTTATCACTCCCAGTGAATGATGAATGTACTCAGGCTCTTACTGTTTTAAAACCTTTCATTAATCGTTTTGAAAAACAAATGCTCCTTTTCTCATGAGAAGAATCAACTGGGTAACATGTTATTTTTTGAGTTTTTAATYCTATCTATTGGTGGCACCAGTGTCACGAGTGACACCTCTCTCACTGGCCTGACGTCTGGATGATAGATCAGGAAGGACACTGTTAAATTCCAAAGCAGTTGGTGACCACAGGGAAAAGAAAGTGGGCAGTCGTGCCCAGTCTGGGGCACCACAGGCAGGCGTCCTGGATGCCCCCCACCCGGGCGGAACCTCTTCAAACAGAACCATGTGACAGCTCAGGATTCAGGTTGAGGCTGAGTGGAGTGCTGAGGTGCAGAGTGTGGGGACCAGCACTTGGTCTAAGTGTCAGTACCTCGCTTGTCCCAGGGTCAATTGCAGAGAAAAGATTACGTG